GTAATTATTAGAGCATTTACGGTAGGTATTTTTATTTTCTAAAATTTCCGCAAAAAATTGTTTTCCCCTTCCCATAAAATAAATTATTAATTAAATAAATATAAATTAAAAATTAATTTTTCTAATCAATTGAATAAATGAAAAGCTAAATTTAAATAAAAAAATAAATTTTAGTTTCTTCGTAAATTCTTAAAAATTAAAAAGCTATGCAAACATTTAAAAATAAAATAATGGAAAATTTAAATTAAAAACATTTAAGCAAAAATAAAAATATTTTTAAATTAATTTGGGGGAATTGCCTAATTTAAAAATATTATATCAGTTTTATTTTGAGTTAAAAATTGGTTTTAGAAATACTCGGAGTTCAGGTTGGCATTCTGATTCTTCAAAGACGTTGCTTAAAATTTTTTGTTTTCTAAATCTTCTATATAAAAAATAATAACTTGATATTTAGAAATATACCATGTACTTTAGCTAATCAAAAAACACAAAAATATTTAAAAATTTTCTTTTTTTATACTTAAATCACATTTTATTTCTAAACATACAAGCAATCATTTTATTAATCATTAATTATACTTTTAAAATGATGTAATGTACATAATCAACAACACATTAATTAATTCATTAATTTCATCATAACACATTTTTGATGTCTAATTTAATTAAAATTTTTATTTTCTATAAACAAAACAAAATAATTTTTAATTTTAAGGAAACATTTAAAAATTCAATTTACTATAAGTTAATTCCAAGTAAATTCATGGAAATTGCCATCATTTTGTTTTTTTTATTTTTGAATGATTTTGAACGTATTAAAAAGTTTTTCAAAATCTTCTACAGAAAAATCCCTTTTGAACAAAAAATATTTCAAAAATTAAATAATAAATTAAGAAATATTTATTTATTATTCTTTTTCCTTGATTTTCACGTGTGGTGAAAATTTTTTTTAGATAGATAATTTGATCAACAGACTGTATTTATTTTGTGTTAAAAGTACATGAATAAATACAATATAAAAACGATAATTTGAATTAAAAATTATTTATTTAAATTTTTTTGTTAAATAACTACTTTCCTCTAATTGTTTAGAATTTATCCAATTTCCTTAATAAATAACTAAAAAATTATTTTTATTCGCTCGAAAGACATTCACTTACATAATTGTGTTTATGTTTCAAAACGTCCATTAATTTTAAATTTTAGATTAAAACATACAACTAAAAAATGTTTAAAATAATCTTTTTTGCCCAAATTTCATTTCTTTTATTTTCCTTTGTTTTTTCAAATATTCAATTAAAATATAAAGAAAGAACTTTTAAAATAAATGGAAGTCCTTTAATTAAAATTTTAAAAATTAATCTTGAAAAATTCGATGATGACCACAACAAATTGGAAATATTAGTTGAACTTGATTCTAGCCTTCACAACAATTTTTCTCTTTATTTAAATTTAAATTTAAACGAATCTTGTAATTTCGGGGCAATAAAATATTTTTTTGAAAAAGGAATTGAATTAAAAAGAGGCAGAAAACATAAATTATTTAAAAGAATAATGAGTGTTAATATTAAATTTGGATTTAATATTTGTTTATTTAAAAGCGAAGGGAAGGATTTTTATAATTATGTAAGTATTTATTGTTAGTTTTGAAATTAGTTTAATTAATTTTTTAAATTAAATTCCAACAATGTAAGCTGAAGGAGTTTCGAAGGGGTTCCTATTTTAGGTTGCAAAACCCCAAAATAGGTTTGTATAGGTGATATAATAACTCCGCGTAAACTAAAAATTTTTGAGAAATAACAACGGATTTGAGCTGAATTCATCATAACTATTTCGCAGAAAAATAGGCTATAACCTAAAAATCGGGCCCTAGTTATTATAGTTAGTGTTCGGCACTGTTCGATACTACCGCGGTACCAGTACATTTATTTTACTACAGGTACCTTTATTTTTTCTTCAATATTTCATTCACGAAAATAAGCAAAATAATATAAAAAAATATTTTATTTTAGTAAATAAACAATATTTAATTTTTAAAAATGTTTAGTTGCTTGCAGAACTTCGCCCAACATTTAAACATAAAATTGATGTGGATACAAACAATTTAACTGAAAACAATTTAATGTGGCAAAACACTAATTATAAATTTATGAAAATAATTATTGATGGAGTAGAGACCCTATATTGTTTTAATTACAAAAAATTCCAATTAATTAAATTAATTTTGTTTTTAAAAACTGAGGGACCTCAAAAATTAAAAAATAATTTAATTGAAAATTTGGAGAAAACATCGTTGACTGGCAAACAAAATAAAAATTTAAAAGAATATTCTCATATTGAGATTTGTATTAAATTTGAAAATAAAGGGGAATATTTTATTAATTTATCTCAAAAATATGGAGATAAATTATTTAAATTTTTTGTTAAAATTAAAGAAGATAATAAATTTAAATGTTTATTTAAATTTTTTGGAAATGTTAAAAATGATGAAAAAGAAATTTTGGAAGGGTTTAAATATGGATTATATTTAAATATTATTGAAACTTTTAAAAATGAAGATTTTGAAGATGGGGAAATGAAAATAATTAATTTTGAATCTGAGAAGAGTTCTCAAATAATTTTAGGTTATTTGGAACCTTCGATGGAATATGGGGAATATATCAATAGTGATGAGGGTGAGGAATTAAAGAAAATAAAATAATTGAGAAGAGAATAAAGATAATTTTGATGAGAATTATTAAATATTTAAAAAAATAAAAATCATAAAAATGAATGTTAATTAAGAAGAATTTTCTTTATTTCTTGATCAATTCTTTCAAATTATGCTTTTAAAAAATTTTTAATTCAAAATTTCTTCTTTCCATATTAAATTGTTATTTATTTACTTTTTGTAGTTTAGTTTAAAATTTATTAAACATATTGATTTTAATTGTGATAAAAATTTTTGTAAATAACATAGGGATATTAAATTATCATCACCTTCGATAATGTGGAGAACCAAAACTCATCTACGGTGCTGTTCAGATATATTTTGCTGTGTAGATCTACAGGCGACATAATTAATCTAAATTTCAAGCACCTAACTTTCCATACTTTTGAGTGTGTTGTCACCAAAAGTTTTACCCCGTCTAATAAACTAAATTGGTTAAATATAAAAAAAATCTGGAACACCAAAATAATCTAAATAAAAATATTCATCAATTAATTAAAGAAATATGTACTTAAATTTATTTGGTTTATTCACCTTGCTTCAATATTTTAATATGATAATAAAATAATCAAAAAAACCTTCAATTTTAAAAATAACAAAGCAATTGTTTTTTATTTAAAAAAGTTCAACAAATATGTACTTGAATTATTTTTTATGTTAAAGCTAAGTAGTATATAAACACAGGAAAATTATCATTAAATATATTCAATTAAAAATATCAAAAAGATATTTAAATTTAAAAAAATGGAAGGCAAAACTTTATTTTTAAATATTTTCCTTTTCTTTACCTTTATTTTACTAATTAAAGCCCAAAATAATTTAGTAGTTTCCCCAAAATATACCACAAAAGATACTTGTCTTAACCCGTCAAAAGCTTCTGGCCCAATTACTTCAAACCTTAATAAACCAATTAATGGAGGTATATTTACATTATATGGAATTGGTGGACGTGGGGCCTGTGGATTGGATATTAATGCTGTAATTTATTTATTTAATCTTAACTAGAATCTATTTAAATTTTTGATATATTCTCTGAATATTCTTAAAAGGATTTGTGTTTTTCGGATTAGATTATGATTCAGACTGGGTTTTTATATTTAGCTCAAAATCAGTAGATATATGCTAAACACTTATCCCGAATATTAAATTAACTAAATAGATAAGAGTAGTTTAATTAAAATTTAGCCAACAATGTCGGCAGCTGCGTCAGGTTCTCTTTTCAACAACGCTGCTCAATGGGTTCCTTCTTGTCTGCCAGATAAGCGTTACCTGCTTAACGACCCAATTTGTATGAGTAAATGTGTTAAAATAACCTATAAATGTGTTGGGTGTTCGGCTGCTAAAACGTTTAATTTCATCTAAAATCCCTAAAAACTTTTCAATTTTAACAGTTTAACAGTTCCAATAAACAATAAATGCCCAGAATGTGCAACAAATCATGTAGATTTGTCTACTGCTGCTTTTACTTGGCTTGAACCTCAGGGAGGGACTGTTGGTATTGCTAAGGGTGAATTTAAATAAATTTAGAGAAATAGAATTAAAAATATTTATTTTAGATGCAACAATCACCTACATTAATTGCTAGAATTTTAAAAGATGATTAAACTTCTTTTCGATTTCTTTAAAATTAAAAACTTTAATTATATCATTCTTCCTTTCTTATTTTAACTATTGTAGAATATAATTAGTTTATTAAATATAAAAATGAATTAGATTAAATAAAATTATTTTGATCTGATATGGACAGCGAAATTAAATCATGGCAAAAAAATAAATTCAAGATATCACTAAATGAAATAGGAAAACTGACAATTAGCAAAACTATTTTCCCATGTGAATTTTACATATTTTTATAAAATTAAACTAAAATACTAAATTAAAGCCAAATAATTCAAAAATTAAGCTAGTTAAAATTTAATTATGCAGAATTATGTACTCTCTAAGTTTGTTAACTATTAAAATTTTTATTCAAAAATTTAAAGTCATCTCCACAACTTGGTCTATTATAAACTTGAATAAATTATGAATAAAATCTATAAAATCCAAAACTTCCTTCCACACAAATGCCCTCCCAACAATAATTTTTAACATAAATTTAATAATTTAAAAGTACTTTTCATTGTTTAATGTCTAAATAATTAGTTAGAATTTAAATTTTGGAATAATTATTTTAATTGTAATTCTGAACAAATATTAAAGTGCATATTATTTAATATATAAATATGTGACTGTACATAATTAAATTAAATTTAATTATTTAAATAATTAATTAAAATATAATTTAACAAAAATGCAATTTAATTTGCTTTTAATATTTTTTATAATATTTATTAATGTTGCCCTTATATTTCCAGACAAACCAAAGGACTGCCCAGAACTTCCAAAAAACCCCAAAAAACCTAAAAATCCAAAACTTCCTTCTAATCCAAAAAAACCAAACCCTCCAATTAATGACGGAAATAATAAAGTAGTTAAGGCAAAATATACAGAAAAAGATACTTGCCTTTCTGAATCCAAGGCTAATGGGCCGATTAAATCAAACCTTAATAAGCCAATTAATGGGAAATTTACATTTTATGGAACTGGTGGACGTGGAGCTTGTGGATATGATATGGATGAGGTGAAAATTAAGAAAAAAAATTTTAAATGATTAAATAATTGTTAACAAATATTAGCATACAAATGCTGTTAAAATAAATAAAAAGTCAAGATATGATAGTTATGTCACAAAAATTTATATAATTATTTCTTTAAAAATCATCCCAAAACATTCAATAATTTAGCCAAAATTCTCCGCCGCAGCCTCAGGCTCTCTGTTCAACCCCGGTGGACAATGGGTCGAATCTTGCTTTAAAGACAAGCGTTATGTACTTAACGACCCAATTTGTATGAGTAAATGTGTTAAAATAACCTATAAATGTGTTGGGTGTTCGGCTGCTAAAACGTTTAATTTTATCTAGAATCCTTAAGAGCTCTTCTTGATTTTAACAGTTTAACAGTTCCAATAAACAATAAATGCCCCGAATGTGCAATAGATCATGTAGATTTGTCTACTGACGCTTTTAATTATCTCGAGCCGAAAGGTGGAATTGTTGGTGTTGCTAAAGGTTAATTAAACTGTTAAAGGAATTAATATTTAATTAACTTTAGATGCAACAATAACTTATATTAAATGTTAGAGATGTTATTATATGTATGTAAATTGTTATAAATAAAAAATAAACAAAAGAAATTTGTAAATAATCCTAGTGTTGGGAAGATAGACATTCAAATATAAATGACAATTTATACATTGGCAATATGTTATATTTATTTCCCGCCTATTTTCCATCCTCATTTTTCCTCTATTTAAGCTGTTCCCATATACCCCATTTTTGCTAGTTCAGTTGTTCAGTTCTCTGTTCACTCGTAATTTATACAGCGCTTTTATTCTTCCACCTTAATTTATATTTATTTGACTTAATAAATATTTTGACTGTTTGTCAAAGTTTCTTTTGTTGTAACGAGTACACAACAAAATTGGCGCGGTCGACATAATTTGACCGAAGCATTTTATTGAAATTCTACCTTATTTATTCGACAACATTCGACTATTAATTTGGAATTTTATTTTATGTATCTGGTCGACTTTCTTTAATAATCGACAAATTTTGCTTCGTCAAATTTAAAATTTAATTTGCTTATTCGACTCGACTTATTTGGAATTTTTATTGGAGCAACCCGACTCGGCCAATAAATCAAATTTACTTACCTTGGTGGTAGTAAATTTTTCAACAAATCTGATAAAAAAATTGTTGGCCTAGGCGGCTTATACAATTTCTCCGAGACGGAGTTCTTCTGAAATCTTCAAAAAAAATTGTTAACCTAGGCGGTTTGACAATTTCTCCGAGACGGAGTTTTTCTCAACTCATCGAAAAAAATTGTTCGCTTTGAAAGCAAAAACAATTCTCCTTGGTGGAGTTTAATCAATCAATAAAAATGGACGCCAAGCAATTACAACAGGTTTTGGAAGCTGTCCTCAAGCAACAAGCCCAGACCACCTCCACAGCTAATAATGCAACACTTGCTTCTGCTTTAAGCGCACGCATCACTACATTCAATTATGATCCTGAAAACGGATCGACATTTGAAAGCTGGTTTAAAAGGTTTGGTACCTTAATAAATGATGATGGGAAAGACCTCCCTGATGCTTCAAAGGTTAGGCTGTTGGTAGGAAAATTGGGAGAAGAGGAATACGCCAAATACAGCAACAGCGTAGCTCCCGACACACCCGATATCATTACGTTCAATGATACGGTTAATAATCTGAAACTTCTGTTTGCCGACACACGTTCATTATTTGTAAGACGCTTTGAGTGTCTTAAGATCAAACAGCAACCAAACCAAGACATCGATTCATTGATTGGACAGATAAATGCAGCATGCGAAAATGCTCAAATGGCACTCACTAAGGAAGACCTTAAGTGCCTGATTTTCATCATCTCTTTGCGCGATGATGCTCACGACATTCGGCAGAAATGTCTCCAAATTCTGGAAGATGCTAGAATCAAGAAAAGGTCCATCAATTTGAAAGAATTAGCGGAAGAATGTCGAGCTTATCAGCTCGTGAAAGAAAGCGCTTTATCACTGAACAACCCACGAGTCGACACTAATGCCATCCGTGCTATCCACAGCATTTGAAAGATAACGGAGGCAAACGAAACCAAAAGTTTGTACGGCACTTTGCTAAGGCAGAACCAAAGCTAACACAAACTTCAGATTCTCGTGGAAAACCTACACATGCTTGTGCATCTTGCGGCCGAACCGACCATTGGCGCAACGATTGCCGATTCAAAGATGTGACTTGCAACAAGTGCAAAAAGAAAGGTCACATAGCTAAGGTTTGTCGAAGCACATACGCTGCTAATTCAATCAGTATTGTGCAAAAACCTGTCAAAAGCTTCTTCACCATCAACAATCAAGGTGAATGGTGGAAAGTAAATGTTAACATTAATGGATCTTCACATCGGATGAATGTTGACACTGGCGCTCAAGCCACCTTAATCACAACACAATTATGGAATAAGCTTGGAAAACCCCAATTGTTTTCCGCCGATATTGAAACCATGAACTGCAACGGACAATCATTTGCAACCGAAGGCAAATTCGATTGTATGGTTTCTTACAACAATAGCACACCTACTGAATTAACTGCCTATGTTAGTCAAGCAGTTAAACACGATCTAATGGGTATTCCATGGATTAAAGATCTGGAAGTAATCCCAAAAGAGATCATGAAGCCCTGTCACCTTCAATCAATTTCTGCAAATTTACCAATCACCGATAAGAATTCACTAATCAATTCACTGCAAACAAACTTCGCAGATGTTTTCGGCAAAGAACTTGGCCATGTTAGGAAGTTTAAAGCTCACTTGTATCTCAAACAAGGAGCCACACCAACATTTTGTAAAGCAACACCAGTTCCATATGGTGCTTTACCTGCAGTTAATGCTGAATTGGATAGATTAGTTGAAATTGGAGCAATAAAGCCAATCAACTTTAGTCATTGGGCAGCTCCAGTTCTAGCCGTCAAGAAGAAAAATGGCAAAACACGAATTTGCATTGATTTTTCAACTGGCTTAAACAATGCATTAGAATTAAACAGGCATCCATTACCTCGTCCTGAAGATATTTATATGGCATTAAACGGTGCCAAATTCTTTTCGCGTCTTGATTTACGTGATGCTTATCTTCAGATGGAACTCGATGAGGAATCTAAGAAATTATGTGCTATTAACACACACAGAGGCTTATTCCAATGCCAACGACTTCCATTTGGAGTGAAGTCGGCACCTTCTATTTTCCAGCACTTAATCGATCAACTGATTTCTGGAATTTCAGGAGTTTTTGGTTATCTGGATGATATTGTCATCGCATCAAAAACATTCAAAGACCATACAAAAACTCTGAAATTACTGTTGAAAAGAATTCAAGATTATGGATTAAAATTGCAACTGGAAAAATGCGATTTTCTTCAAGAAAAGCTGTTATTTCTCGGTCATATTGTCTCACCAGAAGGCATCAAACCGGACCCAGGTCGATCTGAGATCATCCGAAACATGCCAGCACCACACGACAAAAGTACACTTCGTTCATTTTTAGGAGCTCTGACTTACTATGGAAGGTTTATCAAGAAAATGCGTGAAATCAGATCACCTCTTGATGAGCTGCTTAAAAAGGACATTGAATGGAAGTGGACCGAAACCCACCAAAAAGCATTTGAAAGAGCAAAGGAAATAATGCTTTCTGATTTATTGCTGACCCACTACGATCCCAAACTGCCAATAATCGTAGCAGCAGATGCTTCAAAAGATGGAATCGGTGCAACCATCAGTCATGTTTTTCCAGACAAAACGAAAAAAGTCATTGAACATGCATCATGCACCCTAACTGCGGCTCAACGGAATTACAGTCAAATAGAAAAGGAGGCCCTTGCCCTCGTATTTGCTGTACAGAAATTCCACCGCATGCTTTATGGTCGAAAGTTCACACTGCAAACCGACCACAAACCGCTCATTGCAATATTCGGATCTAAGAATGGGATCCCAATTTATTCTGCAAGTCGTTTGCAACGATGGGCATTAATTCTCACCAATTATGATTTTGATATCCAGTATATCAACACCAAATCATTTGGAAATGCAGATGTCTTGTCACGACTGATCGACGAGTACCCAAGACCAACAGATGACATTTTGATTGCTAACATCAGCACCGACACTGAATGTTACATAAACTCTATTTTTAATTCTGTTTTGGAACCACTCCCAGTCATGGCAACGGAAATTGCAGCAGAAACCGACAAGGACCCAGTCTTGTCATCTGTTAAGAAATGCTTAGACCAAGGTTGGCCACGCAAGAATGAAGACCAGCAACTTGCAGCATTTCACCCAAAAAGAGATGCAATTTCTGAAATAGAAGGATGTTTAATTTATGGTCAGCGAATGATCATTCCAAAATCATTGCAATCCCGCATCCTCAAAACGCTACACATTGCACACCCTGGAATTGTGCGAATGAAGGCAATAGCAAAGGAACATGTCTATTGGCCCGGAATTGGAAAAGAAATTGAAAAGCTTGTTCATCAATGTGAACAATGCCAAGGAGCTTCCAAAACCCCAGCAAAAACATTGTTGACACCCTGGCTTGCTCCAAACGAAGTATTTGAAAGAGTTCATGTAGACTTCGCCGGCCCCTGCTCAGACGGATACACCTACTTGCTATTCGTTGACGCATTTTCGAAATGGCCTGAAGTTTGTAAAATGCATCCAATTACGGCTAAAGATACAGTTGAAGTTCTGCAATCAATTGTATATCGCCTCGGAATCCCCAAAGAAATTGTTTCTGACAATGGACGTCAATTTCGATCCAGCGAATTTGCATCATTCTGCAAAGAATTTGGAATCAAGCACACTTTTACACCTCCATACCATCCCATGTCCAACGGACAGGTTGAAAGATTTGTTGACACTTTCAAAAGGTCAATGAAAAAGTGTGGACAGAAGAAAAATTGGATCGAAGAAACATTACTGGCTTACCGAACTACACCTCATGCTTCACTTAATGGTCACTCACCAGATGAATTGTTTCTAGGTCGCCACATGCGCACTA